AGAGTTTTGAGAAACTTGTTGAAAATCACAAATTCGGTGGTTTTACGATCGTACATGTTAAAATATGCAAAATATAAGAGTTTTGAGAAACTTATTGAAAATCACAAATTCGATGGTTTTACGATCGCACATGTTAAAATATGCAAAATATAAGAGTTTTGAGAAACTTATTGAAAATCACAAATTCGATGGTTTTACGATCGCACATGTTAAAATATGCAAAATATAAGAGTTTTGAGAAACTTACTGAAAATCACAAATTCGATGGTTTTACGATCGCACATGTTAAAATATGCAAAATATAAGAGTTTTGAGAAACTTACTGAAAATCACAAATTCGATGGTTTTACGATCGCACATGTTAAAATGTGCAAAATATAAGAGTTTTGAGAAACTTACTGAAAATCACAAATTCGATGGTTTTACGATCGTACATGTTAAAATATGTAAAATATAAGAGTTTTGAGAAACTTACTGAAAATCGGAAATTCGATGGTTTTACGATCGTACATGTTAAAATATGCAAAATATAATAGTTTTGAGAAACTTATTGAAAATCACAAATTTGATGGTTTTACGATCGCACATGTTAAAATATGCAAAATATAAGAGTTTTGAGAAACCTACTGAAAATCACAAATTCGATGGTTTTACGATCGTACATGTTAAAATATGCAAAATATAAGAGTTATGAGAAACTTGCTTAAAGTCACATATTCCATGGTTTTACGATCGTACATGTTAAAATGTGCAACATACTAGAGTTTTGAGAAACTTGTTGAAAATCACAAATTCGGTGGTTTTACGATCGTACATGTTAAAATATGCAAAATATAAGAGTTTTGAGAAACTTACTGAAAATCACAAATTCGATGGTTTTACGATCGCACATGTTAAAATATGCAAAATATAAGAGTTTTGAGAAACTTATTGAAAATCACAAATTCGAAGGTTTTACGATCGTACATGTTAAAATATGCAAAATATAAGAGTTTTGAGCAATTTACTTAAAAGTCACAAATTCGATGGTTTTGCGAGCGTACATGTTAAAATGTGCAAAATATAAGAGTTTTTAGAAATTTGCTTAGTCACAAATTCGATGGTTTTACGATCGCACATGTTAAAATATGCAAAATATTAGAGTTTTTGAGAAACTTATTGAAAATCACAAATTCGATGGTACATGTTAAAATGTGTAAAATATGAGTTTTTGAGAAACTTGTTGAAAATCACAAATTCGGTGGTTTTACGATCGTACATGTTAAAATATGCAAAATATAAGAGTTTTGAGAAACTTATTGAAAATCACAAATTCGATGGTTTTACGATCGCACATGTTAAAATATGCAAAATATAAGAGTTTTGAGAAACTTATTGAAAATCACAAATTCGATGGTTTCACGATCGTACATGTTAAAATATGCAAAATATAAGAGTTTTGAGAATCTTACTGAAAATCACAAATTCGATGGTTTTACGATCGCACATGTTAAAATATGCAAAATATAATAGTTTTGAGAAACTTGTTGAAAATCACAAATTCGGTGGTTTTACGATCGTACATGTTAAAATGTGTAAAATATAAGAGTTTTGAGAAACTTACTGAAAATCGGAAATTCGATGGTTTTACGATCGTACATGTTAAAATATGCAAAATATAATAGTTTTGAGAAACTTATTGAAAATCACAAATTTGATGGTTTTACGATCGCACATGTTAAAATATGCAAAATATAAGAGTTTTGAGAAACCTACTGAAAATCACAAATTCGATGGTTTTACGATCGTACATGTTAAAATATGCAAAATATAAGAGTTATGAGAAACTTGCTTAAAGTCACATATTCCATGGTTTTACGATCGTACATGTTAAAATGTGCAACATACTAGAGTTTTGAGAAACTTGTTGAAAATCACAAATTCGGTGGTTTTACGATCGTACATGTTAAAATATGCAAAATATAGGAGTTTTGAGAAACTTATTGAAAATCACAAATTCGATGGTTTTACGATCGTACATGTTAAAATATGCAAAATATAAGAGTTTTGAGAAACTTACTGAAAATCACAAATTCGATGGTTATACGATCGCACATGTTAAAATATGCAAAATATAAGAGTTTTGAGAAACTTATTGAAAATCACAAATTCGATGGTTTTGCGAGCGTAAACATGTTAAGA